GCCTGCTTCTCCCTCTCCCACTCCCCCTGCTTGTGTTCCTGCTCTCGCTATCTCTGTCAAATAAATAAAATCTTTAAAAAAAAATAAAATAAAATGGGATAATAATTATCTAACTCATGAGACTGTTCTCAGAATTAAATGAGATGCTGAACAACCAAAAAAAAAGTGGGGGAAACGGGGTAGTTTAAGGGGGACTTTAGCTACTAGATCATAGGGAGATCTTGAGGGAGGTATCCCTAAAAGAAGGGCCTGGGTAATCAGAGGGTGCCAGGATATGACTTCCCGGGGATGATTCAGGATAGTGGCTATTTATCATTTAACTACAGTTACCACATTTAACTTCTGTATTAACTACAGAAGTAGTTTAATATTTTAACAACTACTTCACCTAAATCACTGCATATTGGTTAAATATCAGTCCAGGTAACAGGTGTATTTAGGTTTTCTATTTCTCTCTTGATCAGTTTTGCTAAGGTGTATTTTTTGAATAAACTATTTCATCAAAGTTTTCAAGTATACTGGCATAAAAGTGATCTTATTATCATATATATATATTTTGTCTCTTTTTTTATTGTTAAGATTATTCTTTTGTCTTATTTCTCTGGATGAATCTTACTAGAGATTCAAAAAGCAGGCTTTAAAAAAAAACTTTATTGTACATTCATTTTCAATTTCACTAATTTCTGCTTTTATCTTTATTATTTCCATAATCTTTCATTGGGTTTACTCTTTTTACCTTTTTCCAGTTTTTTTGAGTATAATGCTTAGTTCACTAATTTTTAGTCTACTGATTTCCCTGTGAGTTCTTCTTCAATCCATGAATTATTTAGGAAGTGAGTTTATAAATCTCCAAACATGGCAATTTTTAGTTACCCGTGTTTTAATTAACTATACTGAGGTCAGGAAAAATCATTTGTATGATAACAAATCTTTGATATTGGTTGAAACTTACTTTGTAATCTAGTACATGTTCTACTTTTGCTTCAGAGGATGTATTCACTATTTGTTGGGAGAATCCTAAATATGCCTAATAAATCAAGTTTATTACTGTAAGATCTCCTATGGTCTTACTAATTTTTTGGTCTATTTTATCTATTAGTAAATGAGAGAATAGTGTTACTATTTTCCACTGAGATGGGGATTCTTAGTTTTTTCTTGTAATTCTGTCCACTTTTGCTTTTTATGGTTTGAAGCTATGTTATTAGGTACATTTAAGATTTCTTTTATGTTCTAGTGAAATAAACCTTTTAGCACAGTACCTTTTTTAACCACTAATAATGCTTTATGCCTTATATTCTATTTTGTTTGCTATTAATGTAAATATAACTGTTTCTCTTTGATTTCAATTTGCCTGTTATTTTTTTCCCATGCTTTTACTTTTAGACTTTCTCATTTGCATGTTTTGGGTGTGTTCCTTACAAAGAACATAGTTTGGTTTTCTTTTTTAATCCAATCTAACCCTACCTTTAACTGGCTACTTTAGTCTATATATATTTATTGCGATTATTGATATTTGGATTTTCTGCCTACCATATTTTTGTGCTTCCCAATTTACCTCTTTTTTAAAAATGATTTTCCCCCTTCTCTGCTTCTGTTGGATTGATCATGTTTTACTAGCTTTTGTCCACTAATTTGGAAGTTACCATCCATATTCCTATTCAAATTTTATTTCTAAATTAAAAAAAAATAAACTTCTAAATTTTAACAGGTATGCTTGTCTTAGTCTAAAGAGATCTGTACAGGGGCGCCTGGGTGGCTCAGTTGGTTAAGCGACTGCCTTCGGCTCAGGTCATGATCCTGGAGTCCCGGGATCGAGTCCCACATCTGGCTCCCTGCTCAGCAGGGAGTCTGCCTCTCCCTCTGACCCTTTTCTCTCTCGTGCTCTCTCTCTCTCATTCTCTCTCTCAAATAAATAAATAAAATCTTTAAAAAAAAAAAATAAAGAGATCTGTACATACTCTGCTCAAACAATATGCATAGTTAGAAATCTTTAAGAATATCCTCTTTTTACATATGACCTCTGAAAAGAGTATTTCAGAAATGGTCCTGGTGTATTACTGCATTGTCATTTCACCATAGCTAGCAATAGGTATGTTTTAATTATTTTTCAAACTTCAACTCTATTTTTCTTGATTATTTTATGTAGGCACCACACCCAACATGGAGCCTAACGCAGGGCTTGAACTAACGATCCTGAGATAAGACTTGAGCTGAGATCAAGAGATGCTTAACCAACTGAACCACCCAAGTGTCCCAAACTTCAGGGTTTTTTAAATAATCAACTTCTCCATAAGGAGACATTTCACTGAAGTGTTTCACAACAGCGGCATTACTAACATTTTAGATGGGACTAGTCTACTGTGCAAAATGTTCCATGCAGGATGTTTAGAAACTCTGATCCCTGTTGACTAAATGCCAGTAGAAATCCTCTCTTCTCCTCCCATAGTGACAACTAAAACTGCACCACACATTATTTCTAAACATTCCCACTGAGAAACTATTATTTTAATGCATGAAAAAAAGTACAAAAATTACAAAATAAGTAAGTTTAGAATTGAAGGACCGAAGAATGAAAAACATTTCTGTTCCACAGAGGAAATAACAAAAACATTTTTCCTTAAATTCCTTAAATTTGGGAAACTCATCTTATAAACCAGTTTTCATCATTAACTGTACTACTTGGTCTCCTTTCCATAAACTTTTCTCCAAATTTTTTAGTTGCAGTATATGACTAAGATCAAGTAACAAAAGATGGAATCATTTTTTATTATTTTTCCCGAAGTCAGGTTCTTTCTCCTAAAGAGATATGAAAGCTAAGACAAAACACGAATTTCTCTACCATTTTAAACAAATATTTTTGGGGGGCACCTGGGCGGCTCAGTCAGTTAAAGGTCCAACTCTTTGATTTCTCAGGTCATGATCTCAGGGTTGTGAGATGGAGTCCCACACCAGGTTCTGCACTCAGCAGGGAGTCTGCTTAAGATTCTCTCTCTCCCTCTCCCTCTGCACCCCCCCCCACATGCTCGCTCACTCTCTCTCCCTCTCTCTGACAAATAAAGAAATCTTTAAAAAAATTTTTTGTTGTTGTTCACAATCCTAACATGGTTTCCTATTCACAAACCTGTTGGTGTCCCAAATAATGACATTTCCATCAAATCCTGATGTTACTAAGAGTCTTGTATTAGTATCATATTCGATGTTCTTCACCCAGCTAGTGTGACCATGTAAAGTGCATACTTTGGTGTTCAGTTTTCTCAGATCCCATAGTGCTATTGTAGTGTCATCAGAGCAGGTAGCAAACAGCCGGTTATCAAGAAATCTACAAAGCAGAAAAGAAAAACTGATTTATTTAATCTCTTGTTAAAGAAAACTTGAGAAACAGTCTCTGTATTACCTAATCAAGAAAATAAACAAAAAAGGACTACAAACTGACTGTATAAACCCAGTGATATGGATATCAATAAATAGTAAGCATAATTCACATAATCACAGGAAAGGACACTATGATTTAAGGAGGACCACAATGTAATTTTATCAATTTGCTTTATATTATTGATTTTTATTTGGAAGTGGACATAGGGGTGGATGTTTGGGGAACAGTGCTAGAGAGAAAAAAGAACTTTAGAATCTGTATAGGAAACACAAATGGTGAGAGACAATTTAATAGGAGACAGAGGAGATTTTGAAGACTTGATTGCAGAGGGAGATATGTTAAGCTTTATATAAAGGGTTCATAATTATGAGAAATATTTACCCTGCTACAAGTAATGTCTTTCCATTTAGAACACATTTACATATAAAAACTACTAATAAAATGCCATATTTTTAATCTATTAATTCAAAGGCATTCCCCCAAATAATCATACTTATCAATATTTTATTAGGACCAGTTAAGATTACAAGATATACCAATAAAATACTCTATAATTCAGACTTTTAATTATTTTACACTAATTTCTCAATGCTTAGTGAGAATATATTTTATACAAATACTTAAAAAACAACAAACCTAGCAATCACACTTGAATTTCTTTTATTTCTTTTTCCACACTTGAATTTCTGCCTAATTCAACATTAGGATGCTTTCTCTAACATATGCTGTTATATATTACTTCCTAATCTCTTGTAGAGAGAAGAAATGAATTCTGGAACTTCTTCCAAGATAAAATTATATTGAATTATTTTTTATCAGAAATCAACCTCAGTATCCATAAATACCATAACAAACTTCCTAAAACTTAACACAGTTTTAAAAATCCCAGCTGTTGTACAAGCTGTTTCTACTACTTGAAACCACCTTCACTCTACCCCTTGACCTGACTAAACACTTCCTTTCTTTTTGTTATTCACCTATCATCCCCTCCAGGAAGACTTCCTTCTCTATCCAGCTTGGGATAGATTTACCAATCTTCTAATCTCCAAAGTACTCTCTATTTCTGTCATTACACTTAATATACAGTGTAAGGAATAACTTCATAAGGCTATAAACTCCTTGAAGACAGGGGAACTGTCTGCACGGTTCATTGTTAGATCTGTAGTACCCAACATACACAGTGCCAGGCACGTAATAAGTACTCACAAAAATTTATTATGCATGAGATAGGGGTTCACTACCTAGTGGAAAAAAATTATAAATACGTAATTGTACAAAATAATTGCATGGAATAAGCAAAGAAAAGGGTGATCAGGGGCGCCTGAGTGGCTCAGTCGGTTGAGCCTCTGCCTTCGGCTCAGGTCATGATCCCAGGGTTCTGGGATCGAGTCCTATGTCAGGCTCTTTGCTCAGTGGGAAGCCTGCTTCTCCCTCTGCCTGCCGCTGCCCCTGCTTATGTGCTCTCTCTCTCTGACAAATACATAAGATCTAAAAAAAGAAAAGAAAAGAAAGAAAAGGGTGGTCAGGAAAGACTTCATGGTGGGGTCATTTGAACTGATTTTAAAAGATGAGGCAGGTACTCCCTAAGTGACCAAGGGATAAGCAAAGGTACAGAGGCATGTAAGGGGATGGTATATACTCTGAGAGGCAACAGTAGTTAGAAGTACTGTGTGTTGAAAAGTAGAAATAAAGGAGAATATATCATGGATTTATTCTGTAGTGATTCCCAGTAACTTTTTTTTTAAAAGATCTTTGCTTTTTTTTTTTTTTAAGATTTTATTTATTTTTTGACAGAGAGCAAGAGAGGGAACACAAGCAGGGGGAATGGGAGAGGGAGAAACAGGTTTCCCACTGAGCAGGGAGTCCGGATGTGGGGTTTGATCCCAGGACCCTGGGATCATGACCTGAGCCGAAGGCAGATGCTTAACGACTGAGCCACCCAGGCACCCCTTTGCATTTTTTTTTTTTTTTAAAGATTTTATTTGAGTGAGCAAGAGAGAGCACAAGCTGGGGGAGGGTCAGAGGGAGAGGGTGAATATTTTTTAAATGGGAAAAAAGTCCACAATAAAAATAACCACTGTTATTGATAGCCTAATTCTTATATTTCAATAATAAATGTCATGTCATAAATATTTTGCCATGTTATTAAAGATTTATTGACAAAATCATTCTTAATGGCTGAATAGCTTCACTGTATGAATGAACCGTATCTTGTTTCTTTTTTAAACTAATAAGCAATTGTTGGGCGTTTATATTGCTTCCAATTTTTTACTATGGTTTGCACTAAAACCATTAAATGGTTTTATTTAGTGTAAAAATTTATGTAGTGTAAAAAAGTTTACACTAAAAAACACTATGATGAACAACCTAATAGCTAAATATTAATCACATCCCTAGTTATTTTTCTAAGTACATCCCCAGAAAAATGTATTGCTAAGTAAAAAGGGATTTTAAAAAATGTAAGGCTTTTGATACATACAGCCAAACTATCCTCAAAAGAACATACTGATATGTAGTTCCACCAGCAGTTAACAGTGTCCACTTCTCCAAGCCCTGTCACACAGATTATTTTTTAAGTCTGCTAAGTGTCAGGGGAAAAAAAAAAATCTTAAGTTGAAACTTTTATTTTTAGTAAAGTTGAACGTTTTTCATATTAATTGGAAGATTATTTTCTCTTGTGAATTGCTATTCATATTCCTCACTGATTTTCCTACTGCTGTATTATTTTTATTAGAGTTATAAATTCTCTTTATAGTAAATATACCTCAGTTTTTCAAAGACAGTATGTTGAAAAAAAAAGACAGTATGTTGAATATATTTTCCATATATACTTTTATCTTATTATGTGGTTTATATATCTTCTTACTATATCAAAATTTTTACAAATCAAAATTGTCAAGTCCATCTTTTTTCCCCCTATGGTTTTATCTTTACTGATTAGGCTTTTTAAAGTAAAAATATTTTAATGACTTCCTGACAGGAATTAAACGACTAAAAAAATACACCATGACAAAAGGCAACTGGAAAGTCAAACTTTTAAAATAAACTGATCATCATCACAGAGCATCTTCTTACATTTAAAAAATTTAGGGAAAAAATAAGATATTTTATTTAGTCTACAGAAAATACTTAATGCACACATGGATTCAAAACCCCAGTGGCGGGGTGCCTGGGTGGCTCAGTTGTTGAGCATCTGCCTTCGCCTTAGGTCCTGATCCCAGGGTGCTTGCTCCACGGGAAGCCTGCTTCTCCCTCTCCCACTCCCCCTGCTTGTGTTCCCTCTCTCACTGTTTTTCTATCAAATAAATAAAATCTTTAAAAAAAAACAAAACCCCAGTGGCATTATACCACCTTAGGCCACAGTGGTCCACCCTAAAGGCTTTAGGCAAGAAAAGAAAATGGTAAGAGTTTCAAAAAGATCTCTGAGGTAGCTAGTTTCCAAAACTCTTGGATTTTCATAAAAAATAAAATGAAGTGGGGGATCAGTTTTAAAATTTTTGTCAATAAGGCCATTGAAAAATTACCATTGTTGCATGGAAAATATTTTAATACCAATAATGTACAAAGAATATAATCTTGGAATAAAAGCTAATAGTTCGAATTGAATAAATTTACCTTAATGAAAAATTCAACACTTTGACTTTAGTTTTCTCATTTTGCCTCAAAATTTTACCTGTTAAAAATCTTGGTATTGAAGAATCATTGGTGAAGAGACTAAATTATAGAAAACTAAGAATGTAGATTAGGAGACCAGTTAAAGTATCCGCAATTCTTATACTAAAGCAAGCAGATGCAGAGAATGTAAAGTGTTAGACAAATTCTTGGAGATCTGGCTCAATCTTCTCAAATTAAACTTCTCAGACTTCTCAGTCTAGCCTAATAATTTAATGATTGTAAAATGTTTTTAACTCCAGTCTCTAATAAACAGGAAACACTCCATACACCCTGAAATCTATGAGTTTATGAATTATAAAACTGCTCCGTATGTTCCCATCAAACCCCAACATATGACTATAATAGTTCTGGATAAACTGGACATCTGGATAAATTGAAGTCTTCATTATCAGAGGATAATTGGTGAAGGATACCAGCAATTGAAATAGAATTTCTTTAAAACAGGTACCAACATTTCATTGTACAAGGGAAAGAAAGTGTTGTCTTTATCTAAAAACTAAAAGTCATAATAATTTTTAACATTTATCTTATATTTATATAAACATATGCAAATTTGTAGAGTAAGAATAAATTAAATGGGTTTTCCTGCATAATCTTTCCGATAAAATTATGACAGCAAAATATAACACCCTTACTTCATATTTGAGTCTTGTACTATAGAGAGTCATTTCTATATAAACTGCAAGGGCTTTATCCATTTTCCCAAGGGCCTTTCCTTAGAGATATTCACATAATTTTCTGAATTCTCTGAATAGCATGTCCTCATTTCTGTCATTTCCTTTTAATTGATAACTAGTCTAACTCAATCAGACCCTTATTTGTCAATGATTTTATATGTAATTGACTAGTTTTCTAATATCACTCTCAGGGTTTTGTGAAATTCCACATCCTTTGCAAGGTAAGAAATTTCATGTTCCCAGTGATGAGCACTGCATTTACATTATAATGTTTGAAATATACCAATCAGGAAAAGACCAACAAAGACAGTGGGAGGGAAAAGTAGATCCTGGAATATTTAAAAGAGGCACTGAATACTTATGATAATCTCAACTGCCCGTGTAATCTCATACTGGGGGGGGCCTTGATTATCAAATGGACTCTTAAATCCATATATTTTACATATATTTATGAATGAGAAGTAAGCCTGTATAATGGGCTTAAGAGTTTAAGTTACATATTTTTCCCTTACTTTCCTGAAGTATGAAGCAACAGAAAATACCCTTCCCAACTATCAATATTTTTATTTTACAAGATCAGCAAACCTTAAAAAA